CGTCCCCTCTGTCTGCCTGGGGCCCTACTGCATGTCTCCGGGACGCTCCTGGGGAGTTTGCCCCCGAAGCTCTGGCCCGGGAGGGGCCTGCCCAGAAGCCAGAGCTGGTGGCCCATCCTGAGACGCAGAGCCCTGCACCCCCAAATCCACGAGCACCTTCCGGAGCCCGCGCCCCCTTGCTTGGAGGCTGGGCTTTCCTCGGTGCCAGGCGTCTCTACAGAAAGAGGACTCCTTCGGGCCCCGCCCTCGAGCTGTGACCTCTCACTTAGTGCCTGGTCTGGGAGCTGGTCGGCTGTGGGTGGGAGGGGGACATCTGGGCCCAGCTGTGCACAGCCAGGGCAGGCCACCCCCACACACTCCGTGCTGCTTCCACGGAGTCGGCTCCTGAGGGCCTGGGCCTCTTTCTGTTTGTGTGCCAGGGAGCTGAGGGTCAGAGAGACAGGAGTGGGGGGAGGAGGCCGGGCCAGGACCCTTCCCTGGGAGACAGCCAGCCTGCCTGCCTCTGCTCGCCTCACTCCTGGACTCAGGTTCTGGGTCCTAAGCAGACGACACGTGTCCTCTCGGTGCCGCCTTGTCTACCCAGCAGGGGCCGGGCCTGCCCTCTGTGTGCCTGGCAGCTGGACCTCAGCTCTCCTGCGTCCCTGACAGCCATGCCTCCCACCCAGTCCCACGCCTGCCCATCTCGTGGTCCGCACGGCTGGGTGATCCTGAGTCCCTGGGCTCTTGGCCTCACTCTTGGCCCCCAACGCCACACACCCGAGAGCGGAAAGGATGTCGCTCAGAATGGCCAGCTGGCAGGGCACTTCTCTCCCTCCGGCAAGATCCGTGTGGATCGTGTGTCGGGGGGGAGGGAGAACCTTTGATGGACAGAATGTTCTTGTAACCCAGCTTTTGCCCCTTTGGCAAGAATTAGTTGTAGAAGAAAGCCCTGAGTAAATGACTGTGTCCTCTCCCTACTGAGTGTACAAAGTGATTATTTATATGCAAATCAAGACTCACATTCCCACCCCCCCTCTTCCCCTCGGCCTGCCTTGCCACTAGTGGGCTCCAGGTTCTGTGGCACCTCCCCCACCCCTCCCCTCGCTCACAGTTTCTGGAGGGGCTGAGAGATGCAGAACTGGGCTGGTGGTGTGGGGGGAGATCTTGGTGGAGGCAGGACCTTGCCCACCTGCTGACGTGCCGTTTGGTGAAATAAAGGTTGAGTGGCTGGGACATGGGAGGACGTCGGTGTCTGTGTTCCCGGAAAGTGGTCCCACCATCTGCCCTCGTATACCTGGGGCCCCCCACCCCAGAAAGCCTCCGTGAAGGTCCGAGGCGCCCCCGTCGCCAGCCAGGGATCCTTGTCTTCTGAAACCAGGCCCAGGGGAGGCGCAGACTTCCCGAGCCTGCTCCTCCCAGAAACCGCACTTGACCGTTTGTGGTCGTGTTCAAAGCCCTTTACAGCAGTGGTTCTCAGCCTTCCTAACACCGCGACCCTTTAAATCAGTTCCTCAGGTTGTGGTGACCCCCAATTTCATTGTGACAAATTGAACATAATTAAAGCACAGTGATTAATCACAAAAACGATATGTAATCATATATGTGTTTTCCGATGGTCTTAGGCGACCCCTGTGAAAGGGTCATTCGACCCCCAAAGGGGCCGCGAACCACAGGTTGAGAACCGCTGCTTTAGACACATGACAGTTCACAGGTCACCAGGAGGAGCCTGAGGCTGCAAGGGGTTCAAACGTGCCTGGGGCAGGGCTGGGCCTGGAGCCCTGGCTGCTCTGAAGGTCTGTGACGCCCTGAGTTTTCTCTCGCTCGGTTTCCTTCCCCTCCTGGAGCCCGGATGCCATCTGCTTCTGGCCCTTCTGAGCCCAGCTCCCATGTGCCTCCCAAGGCCGCCTCAGCTGAGTCTGGAGCCTCAGCTCGTGCTGCTGGAGGCCCCCTCCTGACTCCCCGAGGGCCTGCCCCGGAGCAGGGTCTCTGGGAAGCAAATCTGCCTGTTCCCCCATCCCCGGTGACCCCCTGGAGGGAAGACTCACTAGCGAAGGTTCCAGATCTTTTCAGCGGCCCTGGGAAGGGGAAGCAGTGCTGCCCATGAGGCCTGAGGCAGGACTGACCACATAATGTGCTGGGCTCAGTGCCAATGAAAATGTGGAGCCCCTTGCTCAAAGATTAAGATTTTCTTAACTGACAGCAGCACAGTGACCCCGGCGCAGGCCCTTCTGAACACGGGGTCCCAGAGGCTGCACGTCCATGCTGTGACTGCAGGAGCCAGGCCCACCCTGGGGAGCGCCCAGGGTTTAGTTGGGGGGAGGGCAGAAGGGCCATCCAGCCCTCTCAGACCACAAAAACCTTTCCGTCCTCCTCGTCTGCAGGGTCCTCAACCGGCTCCATGCAAGGGGCCAGGCAGGGTCAGGGCGCACCTTACAGACAAGGAGCCGAGGCCCCCTGAGCGCCTGACACTGGGCTGGGGGCTGGCCGCACGGAGGCAGACAGGCAGGGCTTGGAGATAAGATGAGGCCGGGGCTTCCGGCC